GATCTTCCAAAAGAACAGATGGCCCTTCAATTCCTACCCTAATTCAGCTGACACCCATGTCCCTAAAAAGATAAATAAAGACCTTTCCCACCCTGATCTTTCCAGAAGGGCCCTGTCCGCTGTGGGAAACACACGCTGGGGCTTGGAAACCTTCACAAGGACAAGACCTGAGAAGAACATCCATGCTGGGGCAATCCCAAGCACAGGGACAGGCTGGGCAGGGAATGGATCATGGGCAGCCATGGGAGAAGGCCCTGGGGGTGCTGGTGGGGCAGAGGTTGGACATGAACCAGCCCAGGGCCTAAAGGGGCTCCAGGAGAGCTGGAGAGGGACTGGGGACAAGGGATGGAGGGACAGGACACAGGGAATGGCTTCCCACTGCCAGAGGGCAGGGACAGATGGGAGATTGGGAAGGAATCGCTGGCTGGGAGGGTGGGCAGGCCCTGGCCCAGGTTGGGCAGAGAAGCTGTGGCTGCCCCTGGATCCCTGGAAGTGTCCCAGGCCAGGTTGGACGGGGCTTGGAGCACCCTGGGCTGGTGGAAGGTGTCCCTGCCCGTGGCAGGGGTGGGGCTGGATGATCTTTAAGGCCTCTCCCAACCTAAACCCTCTGAGATTCCATGAACTCCAGCCCATGGCCCAGGGCAGGGCACTGAGGGCTGTCCTGAAGCTGCTCAGCCTCAGCAAGACCAAATGAGACTCTGCCCTCTCCCCTCCCTCACATCTGTCCTCCCTGGAAAAGCTTCTTCCCTCTGCTTGAAATTCCTTCCCCTCCCTGTTCCTGCTGCCCAGGGGTGGCCTCTGTCCCCACACACCTGAGCTGCTTTCATTTTCCTCATCTTGCGCTGGAAAGTGGCTCCAGCGTTTAACAGAAACAGAAACCCTTGGCACATAATATCTAAACCAATCCTATAGCAGAAATAAAAACAAAAACACCCAAAAAAACCACCTTCCCCAACTTTTAAACTGCATATAAACAGAGATACAGTTATAGACTCAAACAACTGCATTTTAGAGCACGATTGAATCCCACCTCTGACAGTTCTGGTAAGGTTAAACATTAAAAAAAATGATCATACCTGAGAATTTGATGAATTTTCCCAGAAAACGAGATTATATTTAAAGCTTAGGTCATTTACCCACATTTTTCTGTCCTGATTTGCTTCTGGAGGAGAAACCTTAATTTTTATGTTTCCATTTGTGGGCTGCAACTCTATTCCTGGCGGACCAATCTGAGCTGGAAATATTTAAAGAAAAACAAAGTTAACCACAGCTACATGGAGCAAAAACATCCCAAAAGCAGCTGAAATCAATAAAACCACAGCACCTGCCCATAGAATCTTATTCTTGATTCTCCTGAGGCAGTAACAAGATCACAGTGATCACCTACAGGGTCTCAGTTTTCGTGACTCTCAGGCAGTTTCTACTAGAAATCCAACCTAAGAACCAACCACCATGGCCTGGTTCTAAAAGCAGCTAAAATGCAATATTAGTAGCAAGTGTTTTCCAAAACCTACTGTAAAAGTCAGTATAAGTTATTCTAAAAAAGGCAAGAAATCCAGCTCAGACCAATAAATCCAGCACTGAGGGAAGGCTTCAGTAGCACATTGTAACTACTGAAAAGCCACAAAGTCAGGAGAACATTTCCAGAAGAAAGGAGCTTGGAGCACCCTGGGCTGGTGGAAGGTG